CTCAATTCTCTTGAGAACTTCTTTCTCATATCCTTCTTGAGAGATAAATATGCCATCATTCATTTGTTTTACTTCAATGCCAAGATAATAGGACATTAATCCAATATCCGTCATCTCAAACTCCATTGTCATAGCTCTCTTGAAATCATCAAACATCTTCGGATTGTTTCCTACGAAAATCAAGTCATCCACATACAAGCAAGCAAGTAACGCATCACCATTTTTATTTAGTTTTACATAGAGTGCATGTTCATGTGGACACTTCGAAAAACCATTTTCTTGAAAATACTTATCAATTCTATTATTCCAAGCACGAGGGGCTTGTTTCAAATTGTAGAGAGCCTTCTTCAACTTCAAAACTTTATCTTCATGTCCTTTAACCACATAACCCATTGGTTGATCGACATATACTTCTTCATCCAAAAATCCATTCAAAAGAACGGATTTCATATTCATTTGATGAATTTCCAATGATTTTGGGCTGCCAAGGAAATAATCAATCGAATAGTTTCTAAGCTAGCAACGGGAGCAAACACTTCATCATAATCAATCCCGACTTTTTGCTTAATACCCTTTGGCAACCAATCTCGCTTTATACCTCTCTATCTCACCTTCACATTTTTATTTATTTTATACACCCATTTCACACCAATTATGTTCTTACCTTTAGGTAGTGATGCTAACTCCCATGTATCATTCTTCTCAATTGCTTTGATTTCTTTAGCCATGGTGGCTCTCCATTTTTCATCACAAGCGGCATCATCATAACCTACAGGCTCAGTTTCCGTAAATAAACAAAATTGAATAAATTCACCTAATGTCGGTATCTCTTCAGTTATTTCATAAACTTCCCGCTAACTTCTAGTTTTCTGAGGCCTTTCACTAGAATTTGCATCATCAACTTGTTGATTTTGTGGTGGAGGTGTTGGTGGTCGCACCTAATTTTCTTCTTCTTCTTCTTCATCAAAGGATGTACTGAATTTGTAATCTTCTTCCGAAAGATTCCATTCCCAAGCACTTTCTTCATCAAATTCAACATCTCTAATAATAATAGTAATAATAATTTTTCCACTGCTTGGATTGTATAGTTTATAACTTCTGAAATTTTGATCATAACCAATGAAAACATATCTTGGACATTTATCATCAAGTTTGGTCCTTTTTTTTCATCCAGAATATGCGTGTAGGCTGTGCTCCCAAAAACTCGCAAGGGAGCAACACTTGGCTTGTAGCTACTCCAAGCTTCTTGTGGTGTCTTGCCGTCAACACTTTTAGTATGGCATCGGTTTGTCAAATAAACCGTACAATTAACGGCTTTGGCCCAATACTCCTTCAGCATGTTTTTGCTCTTCAACATGCTTCTCGCCATATTAAGAATAGTCCGGTTCTTTCTTTCAACTACTTCATTTTGTTGTGGTGAATATGGAGTTGTCACGGGGTGATGAATGCCATTTTTCTCACAAAACTCCTTGAATGCATTTGAGGTAAACTCACGACCTCTATCGGACCAAAGAGCTTTAATATGGTAGCCACTTTGTTTCTCCACCATTGTCTTGAATCTTTTAAAAGTTTCAAACACCTCTGATTTTTCCTTCAAGAAATACACCTAAGTTTTACGAGAATAATCATCAATGAAAAGTACAAAATATTTTTTTCTTACCAATCAATGATGGCTTGATTGGTCCACATACATCCGAGTTAATCAACCCCAATGGATGTTGAGCTCTTGTCATAGACTCTTTTGGAAAACTCTTTTTTGCTTGTTTGCCAAAAAGACATCCCTTAAAAAGTTGGTTTGAATGGTTTAAATTCAAATTTCCGAGCCTCATATGCCATAACCAAGATGATTCTTTAAAACAAGACTTCAAACACATAGGGACGTCACTTTGAATATTCAACACAAATATTATATTCTTTGTTATGGGTACCTGGCCTAGTAGCCTTTCATATTCATCTTTCATAGTCAAACTTCTATTTTTTAAGTGTATGTCACAATTTTTCTCCAAAAGTTGTCCCAAACTTTAAATAAATTGATGGCTTCCATCTTTCATCCGAATCAAAATCGTACCCTTCCCTCTCACTTGGACTTTTGAAGAATCTTCAAAAGTTGTGTTGTCGCCAAGAGATTCATCCAACTCCATGAATAAGTTTCTTTTACCGCTAATATGACAACTTGCACCGGAATCAAGGTACCACATATTATTTTCTTCTTCAAGCAAGAAGCAAAGTAGGATCTCCTTCTTCTTTATTGCTCTCCACAAGGTTGCTTTTTTCCTCCACATCATTGTAGTATTGCCAAGAATAATGGCCAAACCGATGACAATTGAAACATTCAATATTTGATTTATCATACCTCCCTTGATTTGTTCTTCCTCCACGGCCACGTCCACGGCCTCTTCCTTGGTTGAAGTTGTCTTTTTTCATCATTATTTTGAAAATAATTGTCTCATCGACCTCCTCGTCCACCTCTTCTACGACCACGTCATTATCCTTGAAATCGACCTCCTCTACATCCATGGCCTCTTTGGGACGTGCCATGATGTGTCTCCTTATCTTTCAAAGACAGTTTTACTTTCAAAGCTTGATTTACTGATTCTTGAACCGATTTCTCCAATCTTTCTTCATGGGCTTGCAAAGAGCCGGCAAGCTCTTCAATGGTCATAGTGTCCAAATCCTTGGACTCTTCAATGGGGACTACAACATAGTTAAATTTTGGATCTAAAGATCGCAAAATTTTTCAACACGATCATCTTTTAAGTCATCTCCATATCTTTTGATTTGATTGAAAATAGCCAAAACTCTTGAAATATAATCCGAAATGGATTCGGATTCCTTCATTTGCAATGACTCGAATTTTCCTCTTAATGTGTGGAGGCGCACCTTCTTTACTTTTAAGTCATCTCCATATCCCATGCTTGCTTGGAGGTGTGCAACCTTCTCGAACATCTTCTCATCCAAACTTTGATGAATGAGAGTGAGGGCCTTTTGGTCTCTCTTCTTGGTGGCGACATCTATATCGTCTTCTTCAATTCCATTCTCCACAAGTTCCCATGCTTCATAGGCTCCAAGCAAAGCCTTCATTCGAATGCACCAATTACCATAATTTTCTTTGGTAAGTGATGGAACTTGGAATGGTGCTATATTAAACATCTTTTTTTATTATTATTATTATCTCCAAATAGAAGTGGCTCTGATACCAATTTTTTTAGAAATTGGAGAGTATATATTTAGAAACTCAGACACCCAAGTGAAAAATGAAGGAAACCTATAAGAATTCTTATTATCACTTGAACTCTACTTCCATCGAATGGCTACAATACATAGGATATTTATAGGTGCTAAACTAAAATTCCATACATTCACCTATCTAAGTTCATGCATAAA